CCCCAAAACCCCAAAACCCCAAAACCCCAAAACCCCAAAACCCCAAAGCGGTGTGATACAATTGTGAATGTAGGAGAGACAATAATAAAAAATAAAGATGGAAGAGCAAACACAAAAAGAAGAGGATTTTAAAGAAAGTAAGAGGCCCCCAAGCTCCATCTCGTGTAAAGAGGAGCCCAGTGATGATGAGAAACAACAGGAAGTTGCCAGGGAAAGCCTTAAGACAGCTCCAACAGCTGTTCATAGTTTAAAATTTAGCCAAATACAGAATATTAGGCAAATCTCAATAGATTCGATAGATATTGACTTTGATGTTGTGATTGATCCACTTGATGTAATCCCACCTAACTTTGATGATGCTAGGATTCATAGAGATGCGCAGAGAGTTAAATAAAGTAAACCAAATTTGGCAAGATAAAAGAAAGGCAAGGAACAAATAAATATTGCTGTCAATGCTGAAAACATCCTACGACTCATTCATTCCCTTTGTATTCTCTTTGAGATCCAACTATAAACCTGAAGATTTTTGGTAGCGGGTTCCCTCTACACTTTTTATTCAAGAAGTATATTGGGTTCATCTACCTGCTCACCGCTATCATTGTTTCGGTAATCGGCTGAATTTTATACTCTTCGCCTGAGAATGGGGATGAATGGTTGGATTATGGAGAGAGTACGGCATTTATAACAAAAATATCTCTTGGAAATATTGGGAAAGAAGGAGATCGGTATGAGACAGGTGACGTCAACATCATGATTGTCATAACCACATTACTTATCTGCATTGTCCTGGCCACTTTTGTTGCGATCAAATTTATTGAAAAAGGAAGTATCAACAAACTCATGAAAGAAGTCATCTCGTCATATGACTTCACAGTCATGATCTCCAATATTCCAAAGGAGATGACTAAAAAAGATGTTAAACAGTTCGTGTTGAGTCATATTGATGCTGATGAAAATGAGATCAAGGATATCATCTTTTGTTACTATATTGAGAAGGAAGTTCAAGAGATGGAAGAAGCTATTTCCCTCCGAAAGAAATTTCAGAATTTTGAATTTTTCAATAAAGATAATTCAGAGAGTATTATTAAGGATGAATTGGTGATTGACTTGAAGAGGAAGCATAAAGCTGTTAGGGACGCTCGAAAGAGAATACTTAATGGAGACCCAGAGGAGAAATTTACAGGCAAAGCATTTGTCATATTGAACAATCAAAAATATGTTGACGTGCTGATCAATAAATTCAAAAGAACTCGATTGAAAAGGATATTAACCCATATTGCATTTCAGTGGCTGAAGCTTAGTAAGAAAAAGTACCAAGATGACAAATGGTGGCAAGGCAAAAGAGTTGATATGGAGAGAGCAACAGAGCCTACTAATATATACTGGGAGAACATGGCGATACAGCCAAATGATAGATTTTGGAGAACTCTTGCAACTTATGGAGCTGCTTGTTTATGTTTATTAGTAGTATTCTTTTTGAATGTAGGAATTTCAGTGATTCAAAATAATATCAATGAAGATCTCGATAAGAAAGACAACAAGTCTTTTTCATACATCTTCCTTACCTCTCTTTCCTTCCTTTCTTCAATTCTCATAGCTGCCAATAACACAATTTTGTACCATGTAATCATGTATATTTCAAAGTTTGAACGCCACCAAACTCACGTAAAGTATTATGCTGCTGTCTCTTTCAAACTGACTATCTGCATGGTGATCAACTCAGGGGTGATTCCTCTCGTTGTTAACCCAGGAAAGAAGAACTGGTTCAACCCGGGAGGGCTTGCTGTTGACATGTTCTTCATCGTATTCGCACTTAGTTTCATTTCACCAACTGTATGTCTCTTTGACCCACTTCATTATTGGAAGAGATTCAGGTTCTGGTGGGAGGAAAGAAAGGGTGAGAAATCTAGGATGACACAAAGAGAAGCTAATGAACTTGCTGAAGGAATTGAATGGGAGGTTCCTTATTATTATGGACTCTCTATGTCCAAATTGATAATCACCTTCTTTTATACACCCTGAATTCCAATTTTACCATTTGTTTCCCTTCTTGGGACTATTTATATGTATTGGGTTGAGAAATATCTTTTGCTAAGGATCAATAAATTTCCAAGAGAAATGGGAACCTTCCTTGCTTTGACATTCATTAACGTGGTACCATTCACCTTATTTTCATTTGCTCTTGGTCAATTTACGTTTGTCATAACTCTATCTTGGTGCTCCAGCCTGTGATCTACATAATAGAAAAGCGTACTAAAATAAAGAGGAACCCTGAAGACACTTATGAAAAATACAGTGATAAATTCCTTTTTGATTATTGTAATTCTAACCCTATTACGTCTAAACACGTTATTGAGAACCATATTGCTTCTTTGAAGACGACTAATTTTACATTGAGGCCTAGTCCCACTCAGCGTGCATCATCAGAACAGCAGGTTTACCTAGGCTATAGCTGTATTAACCTGCACGCACTTCCTGGCTTTACTGCTGTAGAGAGAGTCACAGAGAAAGCAAAAGAATTCCAAGGAAGTGACAGTTTGAGGTAAGATTTTAGAGGTCTTGAGGTGCTGTTTGGAGGGAAGAGACATTTTATATGCAGTTAAATGAGTTTTGTGGTGGATGATTTTTTGGTAATGAAGTAGTCGGACTATAAGGAAAGTTTTAGTAGTGATCTAAGGGTTCAAAAAAATTCCTCAAATTTTTAAGAATTTTGGGTTAATCAATACTAAGAATGTTCAACAATTCACCAAATTGATTTGAAAAGATTACTTAGAGTTACTACTACTATTTCAACCCTCCTGATTTAGTGTTTTATTTGGGGTCTATCTTATCAAAAATAACCTCCCAATTCTAAAATGAGTCCTAATTCTTCATCTATAGTGAAGAAGATGAGAGCAACCAAGCTGAAGATGGAGACGAAGGAGATGAAGAAGATGAAGAGGAGGATATGGAAGAATCTCTATAAACTTTTGGAAATATCTTAGAATATCTCAATGTTCTAGAACACTCCTGGGGTTTTGGGGTTTTGGGGTTTTGGGGTTTTGGGG